CTTAGCTGTTATAAATTCACTGTAAACCACGGCTTCACGGGGCTTATTGCTTTAATGTTTTGATAAATTATTATTTTAAATAAATAAGCAGACATACCGGTCTACATGAAAAATGAAGAAGAACATTTAATAGTTCTAATAATATTATATAAGGAATAAAAGCATAGTTACTTTTCGTTCGCTCTTCTTTGAATTTTCGGTGTATATCAATAGCTATGTTTCCATCCAAAGATTGGAATTAAATTTACGCGCAAAACTGGAATATCGCATAAAACATTTGCGAATAAAGCACCGTTTCCATCGAACGAGTCAAAGAGAACAAAATCATCGCTTCCTGATAAACTGTGGCACGCTAAGAAAACTAGGAGAATATAATGATTTTTGTATATAATAAATCACTTGCGTGCGCTTCAGAGCGAGCGAGACGAAACACAGTTAATGCTGTCAATGCTTTCGGAGCAGATGCTGCTGTTTGGGAACGCAGTCGTTAAAGACAATTATACAGAAATACTTTGACGACAGACTTTGCTCAGGCCTTTCAGAACGATCATAACAATATTTCAGATGCTGTGAACGAGATCGGTCCGCTGGTTAGTTAAGTTATCCCGTCTCATAGCGCAAAGTCACATGACTTTTTCGATGCGCATGGAGGAATTTATTCGGTAAATGTGTTTCCATCGTAGTTTATGCGCATTTTTTCTTATCGGATATAACGTTTTTATGCGCATTTTTAGAATTTATGCGCATATTGGTGTTTCCATCCAGCGTGTTTTTATGCGATATTCCAAAATGTGCATAAAAATAGGTGGATGGAAATATAGCTATTGTTTGCTGTGTATCACAATAATCCATTGTGTCATCATGTTCATGATCAGACGTACCGCTGTATCAGTGCCCTTATTTGCGCATCTTTTATTTGACAAATAAAACTGTTGTGCAACCTGTATATACATGTTAACATCTCAAAAAATGTGTTTTAGGGTTTCATAACCCTTTAAATAGATCAGAATTGTCAGTACAGGGTAGATTACTTAGAAAATGTAATCCGTTACGGATTACAAATTACATGACAAAAATTGTAGTTAGTAACGTAATCCGTTACATTACACATTTTAGGTAATGTAATTGAATTACTTTTAGATTACTTTTGATCTAACTCATTACATTGATTTGAATAATAATATCTTGTACCATATTGACATAAAAATACAAATATATATTAAACGTGAAATGCATTAAACATTGCATTGCGTCAAGGTTTCCCAAATGGGGATCGTGAGTTTAATGCAAAGCTAAAATTTAATTAAATCATTAAAATAAATCATAAAATTAAAATAACTAATTTAAAAATAGCAACAATCAAAATAAAACACTTACTAAAAAAAGATCTCATGGACAGTGTGAAATCTTTGACAACAAATGCAAATTAGATTGTACTTCTAAAAAACTAAACAAAACTAAATGTACTGATAAATGAGTAAAAATTTTAGATATACACATTGATACAAACTAAGATATAAATGTATAATTATATGCAAGTATATTAATTATAATAATGAAACAGTATTAATGATTGATACTAACAATATATATAAGCTACATAAAAATGTAAAATATTAAATAAAAAAAAAATAGAATTATATGATGTATATATAAACAAATGTAAACAAAAGCAAAGTATGTTTGAATATGCTCTTTTTCTCGCAAATTAACCTCCGTATTTCTAAACAAGATATTATTTTCATATTTTCACTTTAATTTCAGTTAAAATGTTAGTAATTTTGTTGTGTTTGTTTTTTTAAATGTCTTTATAGCTATTTATTATTTTTTATTTATTTAAATTTAGTCATTTTACTAAATACCTTGGCTAGCTGAACTAAAAGTTTTTTTTTTATGTCTTATTTAAGTTTAAAGTAAGAAAATGTTTTTTATGGTTGTAATTTTATTTGATGATGATAAGCACTCTCACCTTCGGGGAAGAACCAATCAGCATGCTGGATAATGGGCTCAATGATCCCCACGATCTGCAGCGAGACTGTGGTCATCATCTCTGTGCTGTTCCTGAGAGACAGTGAGACATGCATCCCATCAGTGATGTCATTTCCTCATCATGACGCTGATGGCGCTCTGGCGTAGTTTACGTTAATGGGTGTTGTCGCGGGAGGAGCAAACGTCAAGACACAGTGGGTCTCGGAGAGACTTTTATTAACAGAAAATAAACAAAGTGTCCAAAATAAACAGGGGATCTGGTGTCCTCGTCGTGCTGCGGGGTTCGCGAAGGGAAGG